CCACATCGGGCTCCCTGCTCCGCGGGAAGCCTGCTTCTCCCTCTCCCACTCCCCCTGCTTGTGTTCCTGCTCTCGCTATCTCTGTCTCTGTCAAATAAATAAAAAAACTTAAAAAAAAAAAAAGAAAATGGTTATGTAAATTTAAAAAAAATAAATTGGCAGAACTCAGTAAAGAAGTGAAAATGAATAAGCAATACAGAAATGGGAGGTCCCTCTGAAAGCAATAAAACACCATGTGAAAACACAAAAAGTGGCAAGGAGCAGATTAAGACAAGTGAGCAACATGAAATGGAAATAAGGACTTTTAAAGGAAAACAGAAAAAAAATAGAGTTCAATAAAAAACATCTAACAAACAAAAGAATCCTTGAAGTGGAAGCATAGAACTTTTATCATTAGTCACAGTATAAATTTAATAGATATTGTCTAAAACAAGAGATTAAAAGATTTAGTTAAAAAAAGAGAGGCAAACGACAAGAGACTCTTAACTATAGAGGACAAACTGAGGGTTGCTGGAGGGGAGGTTGGCAGGGGATGGGCTAGATGGGGGATTAAGGAGGCACTTGTGATGAACACTGAGTGTTATATGTAAGTGATAAATCACTGAATTCTGCTCCTGAAACTAATATTACACTATATGTTAACTAAGTAGAATTTAGATAAAAACTTGAAATACTAAAAAAAAAAAAAAAAAATTGAGTTCAAGATGTTAATGTGACAAAGATCACATTAAAAGAACCAACCATACAGAAAAGAATCCAAACCTTCCAAATTACCAGAAGGGACACAGAACCAAAGTAAGAATACAGAGTATAAGGTGAAAGATATATAAAAGAAGTATCTTTATCAGAAATGTATGTAAAATACATCTTTCCAAACTGCTGTACAGAAAAAGTGCATAAGGACTCCAAAGGATGACAGTAAAAGGATGAGCAAAAGACATATCTGGAAGTGCCAACAGAAAAGAAACAAGAAACTCCATCTCAATATCAGATAGAGCTGAATTCTAGGGAAAAATTATTAAATATAACAAGGACACAATCCAAAATTAATTTCAGATGTCATTACTATTACCACACCAAATTTCATAGCATCGAAGTTTATGAACAGAAACTACAGATAAATATAGACAGAAATATATTTGTGGTGGGAAACAATATCTCTCAGCTCCAACAGATAAGGTAAAAACAAAACAAAAAACACACTGTACAAACCTCATAACTATATGATAGCTTATTGATAAGACAGCAAATTCTGTATCTTAAAAAATTCATGTGCCTATATAACATTCAGAAATATTAAACATAAAATTTGCACACACACACACTTTACACAAAACTTAACATTTCAGAATAAAATCAGTGCAAATAAATCTCTCCAAAGCTGCATCCTAATTTTATTAAAAGTAGAATTAGCTTAAATAAAAATCTTAATACTTAAAAGTGAAAATGTGGTAAATAGTAATTAAAGATTTGGTGAGAAATTTAATATGTTCCTAGAAATTCATCCACTCCATCTAGATTTTTATATTTATTTGCATAAGACAAATTATTTTTCTAAATTATTTCTGAACACTGTTTTGCTGTATATCTTATCTTTTGATATATAGCATTTTTATTATTTTTGAGATACTTTGTTATTTTAACTTTGGAGTGGACTGCTAAATGAGGAAATAATGTCTCTTTCACACATGTCCCTATGATAAACCCTATTTGGCTATTGTTTTCAGGTACTCTTGAATTCATTTATGACTTCTGCATCTATGTTCATAATTTCCAGTTCTTTTACTGTTCTTGACAGGTTTGGGCATCAAGATTCATATATAAACAAAATAAAACAAACACCACAAACAAGGTTGGGAATAATTTTAGATTATCATCTTTACCCAAAACTCTGGCATAAAGATCAACTATTAATCCACATGATGTTTTCCATCATATTTGACTGTGTAGGAAATGTTTGATAAACATTTTAATTTCCTCAAGGGCTTCTGAACCATCTGTATTTACCAATTTTGACATTTATTTTTTGTAAAACTGTATCCCTATTGTTTAGGTTTTCATATTTTTCTATGATTTTGTGTAATATTCATTCAAGATTGTTTTAATCTTTGATAAAGCAGTAACCATCTCTCCTGTTTTGTTACATACTTCCAGTGTATCTTTACTCCCTGGTTCTTGATCAGCACATTCAGAAGCCACTTATGCTTCTGTCAGACATCTTCATCAATTATGTCTGACTCTATGTGACTAATTTCTTCCCTTATTTTATTGTTATTTTCTAGTCCTTATTGTTATTTTATTTTATTGAATTCTTTTTCTAACTTCTTCAGTTCTAAGTGTTACTTATACCTTAGGTCTTTTCTCCCCGAAACTTCCAGGATTCCTTAAAAAGGCATTAAATTTATATTTTTTCCCTCAATCTATAGTTTAGCTTTGCACACAAATTTTAAAATGTAGTTCTTTATTTAACTGAAACTAAACTCAAGGAATTTTCTAAGATCCTCTATGGTTTTTCCTTTAAAGAATATTTATATAGGAAAAAAGTTTAAAGTTTTCAGATATGAGGGTTTCTTTTGCTAGCCTTTTACTTTTTTTAAACTATTTTTTTAAAATTGTAGTAAAATGTACATAAAATTTACCATTTTAAAATGTATAGTTCAGATATTAAGCCTATTCCCAAAGTTGTGCAAAAGTCTTTTACTTCGTATTTCTAATTTAATACTCTTGGTTAGAGAGTAAAATCAACATTATAGCAAAGTTTCATATTTTTTGTCTGCCTGAATTAATGTTTTTGGAAGTAGTTCATAAAATAGATCAGCAGAGAACCAACAACTAAAAAACAAATTTAAAAAAAAAGAGGAGAAATATTTATGTGGGGAGAAACAGTTTAAGAAGAAATAGAGAAATACTTTGAGAATTACGCACAAAAACAATTTCTAATCAGGAATCTTATCCTCAGCCAAAGATCAGCATAGCATGAGGACAAAATAAAAGGCAGTTTTGGACATTCCACTTCTCCACTGTCATACAGTTGGCCTCTAGATGTGGAGACACCCATGTGTTGCTCATTCTTGGCAGAAAAGATCAAGATTTGCTTTAGGGAAGTAAAGGAGTCCGGTTGCTTCCTGTGACCAACCTGCCGCTGCCCAGAGGTTCTGGTGACATATCGCAGGTATCTATTCCCAGGATGAATTCCCTACCCCCTGGGATTCTTCCTTCTCACCTCGTATGAATTATCACATTCCTCTGGAACCAGGACCAGGGATTTCTGGGGAGAGGTCCGATTAGCTGACATGATCATGGTAAGTCTCAAACTTTATTCTCTCAGGAGCCTAAAGCTTTGTAGACATCTGTAAACTCAAGCAGAGCTGCTGGAGAGAGGCAGGCTGGAGTCTGGAAGATCTAACCCAGGAGCTCCCGAGAGACACCAGAAAACCTAGAACGACAATGTCCACACGGTCAGACACTAGATATTCATCACACAAACCTTTCCTGTGAACACCAAAGTGAAGTTCCCTGACCTAGACACACAGAGCAGAGGCTCTCAAACTTGAGTGTGGATTCAAAACACTTGGGACTTCTTAGAATATAGTTAAAATTCCTCAACCTCACTGCCAGTTTCTGATTTAATAGGCCTCAGGTAGCAACTGTCTTAGTCTAGTCAGGCTGCTATAATAAAGTACCACAGACTGGGTAGCTTATAAACAACAGAAATTTATTGCTCACAGTTCTGGAGGCTGGAAAGTCCAAGATCAAGGAGACAGTATGGTTGCATTTTAGTCAGGGGCCTCTTCCTGATTCAGAGCCAGCAGCTTCTCATTGTGTCTTCACATGGTAAAAGGGGCTCAGGAGCTATGTGGGATGTTTTATAATAGCACTAATCATTTATGAGTGCCCCACCTCCATGACCTAATCAGTTCCCAAAAGCCTCACCAACTAATCTGGTATTTCTGGAGATTAGGATTTCAACATAAAAATTCTGGGGGAACACAAACATCCAGACCATAGCAGGGTCCAAGAATTTGCATTTCTAGGTAGTGCCCAGGTGCTGTTGATGCTGCTAGTCCAGGGACCACACTTTGAGAACCAGTGCTGTGGAGAATATAAAGCTTAATGAAAGCTGTGATGGATATTAGTCATGAGATATGGAGTAATATTACTTAAAATTTGAACTGTAGCTCTTATATCTTTCAACTATGAGAATATGAAGAAGTTCCTTCCATTTTAGTTTCAAGAATAAGGATGAAAGTATCTATTGCATAGAGTTATAAAAATTAAATGAGATGATGCTCATAAAGTATTCAACATCTCCCTGGCACACAAGAAGCATATAATAAATATCAGCAATTACCATTCTCTATTAGATATTAAAACTGAATATAAAAACAATGTAATCAAACAGAGAAAACAACAGCTCAGACAATACTGACTTATACATGTAACAAAAATGGCATTCAATGAGTATGCACAGGACATTTATTGTGTAAGTGGCACTGACATAATCGACCATCCACCTGGAAAAAAAACAAACTATATCCCTATCACACATTATATGTTAGACTGAATTCCAGCAGGACTAAACATTTAAGTATATGTATTTTATAAACCCCAAAAGATATTTAAATAAATTTTAGTAGTATATGTTTGCATGAACATTGTAGTGGGGTGGGAGAGATCCTTATTACACATATGAGAAAACCCAAATGATATAAAAGAAAAAAACATATTTCTGGTTAGAGGATATTTCTTAATTATATATTAAAATACACTTTAAAGATAAAAATGAAGATATATATAAAATTTCAATATGTAACAAGTTATCTCTAAATTTAAAAAAAAATCTAGCAATCAATATGGAAAAAAAAAGCACAGAAAAAAACCCTGAACAGAGGATATGAAAATTCACAGAAAAGGAAATTTAAATAGTAATTAACAAAAAGGTGCCAATTTTACTAACAGGAAAGCACATTACAGCAATTACATATAATTTCTCCTAAGAATAGTAAAGACTTATTAATTTAATTTTTTAAGTAGGCTCCAAGCCCAGCATGGAGCCCAACGCAGGGTTTGAGCTCACCAGCCTGAGATCAAGAGTCGGTCGCCCAACCGACTTAGCCACCAAGGGTGCCCAGTAAAAACTTACTTTAAAAAATCCACTGCTGGAAAGCATTTGGGAAAATGACCCGTTTTATAAATTATTGGTGGGAACCTGAATTGTTATGGTATCTTTTGAGTTATTTAATCATATCTATTATTAAAAATAAGCAATTGTTCCTAATAATAGTTTCAAATATACAGAGCGGATACTGACAGAAAGAAGGCCAAGTGGACAAATCACTCCAGTGAGTTTACCTTTCTCTGTACTTAATTAAGCAGACAAGATAAACAGAATATATATGAAACAATACAATGAGAACACACATTGTTTTGATGTAATAGATGTGACATTTATGAAAACCGACCAAGAACTAACGGTAAAAAAAATTTGTAAGCTCGAGCATTACCCAGAGGCATTACATGAAATAGACAACGCACTTCTAAATAACTCACGGATGAAAGAAAAAAACTGAAAATTTTAAAAAGCCAGTACTTAGATTTGAACAATAAAATGCTACGCATCAAAACTTATGAATGTTTAGAAAGCAAACTCATCATAGACCCCACCGACCCCAGTAACTGACTCCACAGCTCAGTGACCACTGACTCCCATCACTGAGCCCACAAATCCCATACTCATCTCAAAGATGCCCATCACTGACCCGAGAGACTCCCATCACTGCTCTCACAGCAACGGACGCCACAGACTCTTCACTACTGAGCCCAGAAACCACCATCACTCACTCTACGGACAACACCTCCATCATCGACCCCACAGAATCCCTAATCACGACCAACCAAAATCACCTGAGACCTCTCGGAATTAAAATGCGGAGAAACGCCTGACATCAGCGGCGAAAAAAACCTTTCGAGGACCACTTCCGCTTCCGGCCTAGCCTCTAGCACTTCCTCTAACGAACTGTTGTTAGTGCGCATGCTCTGAGTTACCTTGGAAGCCGCACATGCCAACAGTTAACATGGTGCGGTTCTCGTAAGAGACGCGGTCGAACCGAGAACATGGCTTCGCCCAATGGTGCTTCTGCGCGCGAGCAGCCATCTTTGAGGCGTGTCCATTCCGTACAGCGGAGGAAGAGGCCTCCCGCCGGTTTTCGTAGAGCGAGACCGGGATTGCCACATAGAATGCAGGGGTGAGGCCCTGGTCGAGGTAGGCTTCTGTGAGGGAGAAGGTATTGGCGATGGGGTCTGGTACTCTGTGTCGTATTTAGAAAAGCTAGTTTGCCTCTAGGGATACGGCGCTTGGCTGAGAGCAATTATCTGCTGGAAGAAACCACCAGGAATGAAGGGAGCCAGGGAGGAAAAATCCCCAAGGGAGAAGGACAAACGTTTTATATGTTACGGCTGAATCCTGGGAGGAGTCATCAGGGGATAAGGGGAGAAGTTAGGACAGTACAGTCTACTTTTTGGAGAAACCGCTTAGGAAGAATGTGGAGAGGTCAGAACGGGAGCCCCATCCTGGATGAAACCACCCGGCAAGATAGATGTCAGAATGGGCTGCACGCAGGGTAGTTTAGCCTTTTATGGGAGGAACCACCTGGGGAAATAGGGTAAAAGTCGTGGTGGTCCAGACCTCTCCTGAAGGATACCACCAGGGCAAGATGGCACCTTCTGAAGGGCTGGTGGAGGGAAAGGGAGCCTTGAATACCCATCAATCTCCATTAGTAGGCAACAATTATAAAAATAACAATGGTTTTTAATATGGTCAACGTGTGACAAAAAGCACTTAAGGAAAACTGCTATTTTTGTTTTAATTTACAAAGTTAGTTTGTAAATTAAAATCTAAGTAATAACAACGCCCTTGGGATGTAAATGAAGCCTAAAGTCCGGGGGGGGGGGTGTGAAGACACAATTACTTTCATCTGGTGAACTCCTAAACATTCTTCAAAACCCCGCTAAATATTGCCTCTGCCAGGAAGTTCTTCTACCTGACAGTGGTAGGAGGTTCTATGACCTACTGAAAGTCTGTGTCAATCCCAGAAGTGGGGAAAGTGTTTTGAGTGAACTAGACCTAGGCTCTGGTGTGGGACTGCTAGGTACCTTCAGGCTAGTTATGTCCCTCTCTGGGATTCAGTTTAAAAATAGGGCCAGTTAGAGGGTTGGACTATGCTTACACCAGGTTCTCCTTCTCCCAAAGCCTGGTTGAAGGAAAAAAATCTGTGGAAGTCTATTAGTAAACACACATTTTTGTCAGAGGTCTAAGAATAACTATTAATTTTGTTTGTAGTGTGATTATGTTAGAAAAAAGACTTATCTTTTAGAGATTTATATAGAAATACTAACGAGCAAAATGTTAGCTTAAAAAACATCACTGAGGAGGGGTAGATGGATAAAACAAAAATAACAGAATGTTGGTAAATGTTGAAAGCAGGTGATAGGTACATAAAGTTTATTATAATGTTTTCTTCAGTATTTGTGTGAAAATTTCACAGTAAAAATTTAAAAAGAAAAGGAGTATAAAAATCATTTACAATGGAATATTATCAAGAAGAAAGCAGGTGTGTTGATAGTATTAGATTATACAGATTTCAAAGCAAACAATATTAACAGAGATGTTCCAAATTTTAATAAGATGCAGCTACCAAGAGCATACAACACTAGTAACATTTATCTAACAATATAGCTCTGAAATATATATAGCAAAAACTGGTAAAATAGGGAAATTTTGAGGAACTCACAATCACAGTAACAAACTAACATCTTTCAGAAACAGATCAAATAGAAGAAAGGTAGGTATAAAGCTATATTGGGATAACATAAGTAATTTGCTTAATATATATCTACACTTCATTTTATTTTTAACCAGAACAAGAACATTTTTTCAAATATACATGGAACACTCATAAAAATTCTCCAAAAAGTAGGACATAAAAGACAGTATAAAGCCCCCAAACTGATATCACATATGCCATACTCTCAGACTACATAAAAATGAAAATAGAAACCAAGAGACAATAAAATATATAAAATGTTCCAAATGCGTGTACATTAAAATACACACATCTGGGGGCGCCTGGGTGGCTCAGTCGTTAAGCGTCTGCCTTCGGCTCAGGTCATGATCCCAGGGTCCTGGGATCGAGCCCTGCATCGGGCTCCCTGCTCAACCGGAAGCCTGCTTCTCCCTCTCCCACTCCCCCTGCTTGTGTTCCCTCTCTCGCTGTGTCTCTCTCTGTCAAATAAAGA